AAATCAGGCAAATAGTGACTGAAATATATATGGAGGGAGGAGGAGGGAGGGAGGGAGGGGAGAGGAGAGGGAGAGAGAGAGAGAGGGAGAGAGAGAGAGAGGGAGAGAGAGAGAGAGGGAGGGAGGGAGGGAGGGAGGGAGAGGGAGAGGGAGAAGGGAGAGGGAGAGGGAGAAGGGGAGAGGGAGAGAGAGAGAGAGAGAGAGAGAGAGAGAGAGAGAGAAGAGAGAGAGAGAGAGAGAGAGAGAGAGAGAGAGAGAGAGAGGGAGGGAGAGAGAGCTTTTGTTTTGTTTAATTGTTAATTATATTTGAGACCTGCTTTAAGTTATATAATTTCGAAATTAGGTTTCACAAAATCTTATCACATTGGTATATTTTAATTCCCTATCATATTTTCTCTATAAAAAATCCTTAAATATTAATATTAGTGGAGCCCTATGTCAATATATGGCTCTGCATTTTCCTAAGCATCTTTCACTCTCTCTCTTTCCTCCGTCTTATTTCACCTGGATCCGCTATGTAGATAATAATTATTTTTATATGTTATTTAGAAAATGGAATAATACTCATGACAATATTTCATACATTATATTTTCCGAATGTTTATAATTATTTGATTACCAAAAATAACGAAATGAACATGTAAAAGACGGATTGAACAGGAGATATCGAAAGTAATGGGTTTCTTGAATAGTTTGGAGTGGTAACACCAACAAGGTGTTGGACACCAACCGCTGAAACGACAAATAAAGCCGTAAGAATAGGTAGAGTCAAGGCTAAGGGAATATTCCATTAGTTTTGGGTAGAGTGAAGCTAGACTTGGCCCTTCGCGGGGTGAGTGAGCAAATGTGAGCCGGGAAGACGGTTCGCTGGGAAGTGCCCAATCTGCCCAGATCTAAAGACTGTCACCTAATAATTTGACACTAATATGATAATAGTATAAGTTTCGCAGCACCTACATCCGATATAGCCCACCTACATCATATTAATGCACAGATGCATGCATCCACTGCATTTCATTTCACATCAATTATTTTCACCTACAGTGATGGTGTGGCCCCCTATTCCACATTCATTAAATGATTTTCAGTATCAAGACGTCATGTCAGATTAATTTTCTAATTAATTAATTTACTAATAAATAAATAAATAAATAAATTAGTTCAATTGTTTTCAATGGTAATGTTACAGCTTACGTCCGCCGATCGGACATCGACGATTTTAGTATCCTTGGATTCCTCTCACTCTATACAATGCAAATATGTAGGTTTTATTACGCGGAAACCACCGTTAGCGATAAACTTGGTCCCGATAGCAGGGGAGGGCATGAAAGGTTCCAGGGAAAATGTGGGGTTAAATAACACTAATAATATAATCCACAATGAAAATAACGATAATTCACATTGCTTTCCAGGACAGATTGTTACACAATTATAAAGGTAATGTAACTTTCCTACTGAAGCAGTATACTAACCTTGCCATAGTCAGCATTGTATACTGAGACGATTGTAGTGTAATCAGGATAAACAGGATATACCATGAACAGAAGAGCGGTGGTGGCCCGCTCTCCTCGGCGGGTTTTGTGCAGCTCTCGAGGTTACACCGATGGTCTCGGATGATGGAGTGGAATGATATACGTACACTAGTAAGAAGTATATTAGAGTCAGCCAATAGATGGCAGTTATTTTCCAATATAGTTACTGAAATGACTATGTCGCCATCTATTGCATAAGAACGTAGCCTCAAGGTCGAGTTTCCCGTCCTCTAGAACCACGAGATCCGTGTTCATAACCGAAGTAATACGGAATAATTTCCGATCTTCTGGAAGCAACGACATGCGCGTTGAGAACAGGTATGGCACGGCCTGCCTGCCGCCGCCGAGTTCGGTACTCCGCCATAGCCGCCGCGATGGCCGAATGTGGAGGGTGCGCCTACTCGGAAACGGACTTCGTGCGCGAGGTCGCCACCAGCCGATGTGATTCCGCCACGGCCTCCTCCGTCGGGGAAGAGCCTGCGAGACTGCGGCATCTATCAGTCAGGTTAGCGCCTTAAAAATCCTAGGTTATATAGTAGGTTATCGGCTCCGCATCTCGTTTGAGTGCGCTCTATCCTGCCGTGAATATGTGGTGGATGCTTTGTTTCTTTGACAGGGGTTGGGGGGCGGTAGCCCCCCCAGGGAGGGTCGCAGGGGGCGCAGCCCCCTGCAATGAATGGTAATGTGAAATATCATCGTTGTTTTCATTTGTGTGTTATATTATTGGTGTTATTTAACCCCGCAATTTCCCTGGAACCTTTCATGCCCTCCCATGCCATCAGTGCCCAGTTTGTCGCTATAAACGGGTTTCCACGCAATAAAACCTATATATTTGCATTGTGGACAGTGCTAGGAATCCAACGATACCAAAATACCGATACCGATATCCAATCGGCGGACGTTTGTTAAATTACCGTTTTCAATGAACATGGTGTACTTTATATAACTTTTCAATATAATTCAAAGTGACAATGTTAATTCTATTTTTTGGTGTAGTGATGAGCGCCCATATCATGGGCTACCCTTCACCACTAATTGAGTCGAGTGTGACTCCCCCTTTTAATAACGAGGCTAAAAAATACTTTAAGGTAACGTAAACAAACGAAAAACGTAGGTGCAAAGAAATCAAAGTATTAAAAAAACAAACAAACAAACAGTAAAAGCGGAAGGGTTAACTCAAAGCTGAGGAACTAGAGGCAAATCAAACATATATAAAATAAAAACAGAAATTAAATCTACCTTTATTCATAGAAATCGGTTGCAGGAGCTAACCAGAAAATAACAAGAATCTTCCCGAATACTGAACTCGTTTGGAACTCCACACATGGTCCTCTCAGCTCCTCTCGCCACAATCAACTGGCGTGCGGCAGGAATTATATAATCTTTTTTTTTTAAACATATCTATTTATTTCATTGTTATGTGTTTTATTGGTTTTATGTATATATGGAGAGGTTCCGAAGTAGATCTTTTAACTATATTACTGAAATATTTAATTATTACGTATTTGAAGAAAAATATTCCCCAGGTGGCGCTCGTAGTCGCAACGAAAACGGCGCGAGGGGTAACTTAGTTCCTGGCCCTCACGGGGCCACTGCAGTGTAATTCGAGGATCGAGTTAAATCATGAAAATCAATACATATCTTAATCAATAATTCATTATCAATGCAATGTAATAAAGTCGCAAAATCAAAGATTATATCAAACAAAAACATACAATACATGAAAATTGACAAAAACAAAGTCAACAATATTCAAAATTACGTTATATTTTAATGAACCTAATATTATCAAACAAAATATCAAAAATGTTTAATATCTCAAGTTAATAAATCAATTTGATATTACACAAAATAATGATCACAAGAGAAGCAAATACTTAAATAGACATGCTCTGTTAACTGAATATTATTCTAAAATAATAAACAAATAATTAATTTTGATAAACACAAACTGAGTTGTATTTCTATGTTATAATATTAATCAGCCATTAAACAAAGACTAATAATCATGGCAAAATCAACTAATTGATGGACAAAATATCAATCTTACGCTGTCGGACAACAAGACCACTGCCTGCACACTTCCGTTGAGCTACCTTTGAGAACACAGTTATTTGAGTACACTTACGAACTAACCTATTTCCATTAATTGTTGATAAATATACATGTAACACAATATTGCCATATTAGTGAAATTTAATAACCAAGTTCATTATATGTTCATAAAAATCTTCATTTCATCCTACCCCTAATTATGTTTCAAAATATCTCTCCCATGTTACAAAAATAACTCATGTTACTGTTCCAATTTCTAATACCTGTCCACTCTGTTCCATCATAGTAGTACACTGAATTACTTTAAACGAGCTTACCTATGCTGTTATCACTTATCCATGTCTTATAGTTGGAAAAATGCATGCATCAGAAATTTTCTGTGTCTCAGCAAATTTTTAACACTAATCATTTTCATTTTTCTTCCTGCCATCCGACTGAATTCCTTGTTCCCAGACTGATACACTTTAATCTACATTGGAACTTGATTGGAACTGCTTGTTATTTCGCCCCCGTGATTTCTATTTTGTTTCTGTTGGTCCATCACATGGCGTCACCCTTTGTCCCATGTCTACGCCGCTTCGGGTCGTGGTTTTGTCAGTGCCTGCTTTCCTGTCGGCTGATCGAGGCCTCGCTATTTCCGATGTCTCGTCCAAGCTTGTTGGTCTGGCCCGTCCGCATGGCATCCGCTTTGCCCACTTGTTCACATGATGACGATGAATTCCTTTGTGTCTACGACAGTTATACGATATAGGTGAAATCGATCAAATGCATTGCACTGTGAAGATGTTCATCCTCATCGAAACTTTTCCTACAGTCGCAGTCAACGCAATTTATATTGTTTGAATTTGCAAACCACGTTTTTTATACGCACTTGAACAAATTTGATTCTGAGAAAGCTATATGACATAATTGCACCACACGACAACATGAACAACACGTCATAAGTGTTTGGGCCGCATGGAAAGGAACATCGCCCCTCCCTCCCTCTCTCTAAGATTTAGGGCAAAGAATCGTATAACTTCGTATAATGTATGCTATACGAAGTTATTACGAGAGAGGAAGAAAGGGCGAAAATTACCAAAAAAAAAAAAAAAAAAAAAAATATGATTGTGATCACATATAAAAATTAATAAAAGCATAATAACAATCGCATTGATACTAGCATCACCCATTTTCTGTTGTTCTTCCGCTGCTCCAGGTCAACGCAAGGATAAGGACCTACCTCTCGTATAACTTCGTATAATGTATGCTATACGAAGTTATTACGAGAGAGGAAGAAAGGGCGAAAATTACCAAAAAAAAAAAAAAAAAGAAATATATGATTGTGATCACATATAAAAATTAATAAAAGCATAATAACAATCGCATTGATACTAGCATCACCCATTTTCTGTTGTTCTTCCGCTGCTCCAGGTCAACGCAAGGATAAGGACCTACCTCCTGGTCCTCTTGGCGCTCTTCCTGGCAGCCAGCCTCATGAACAAACCGGAAATGAAGGACAAATCGGCCATACCTCGCTCCGAAATCTCTACGGTAGGCATTGGGAGTTCCATTGACTTGTCACGAGAAACATGTGTTTAAAGGAGATATAATCAATACTGTTGTACTGTTGGAGACATTCGTTCTCATTCTTGCCGTTTTCTACAGTTGTCGCAATGAATACAGTTGTCTCTTCTCTCCCTTTCGTAGCACGTGGCGCCGCCAGGCTCGGGTGACCTTCTCTCCTCGTCGTATGGTTTGTCGGACAACAGCGGCTACTACAAGAGCCATTACTTCGTGTGGCCGGCAGCGAAGTGGGAGGAGGCCACGTCGAAGTCCAAGGTGTGCCTCCTTGCCCAGGGTGGCGCCGACAGGCTCTTCTGGGTGGTACGCCAGGCCGAAGCGTTTGCAGGGCCCGTGTCTATGGGCATCTTCGTCGCGGGTTCCGAGTACGCCGTGGCTGTCGAGATGGTGTCGTACATGAGGAGGTGCTTCCCTCCTGTGAGAGACTGGGTGTCCTTTCACATCATGTACCCCGCAGGCAAGCCGCCGAAGCTGTCTCCCTCGCCGAAGACGTTTGTCCTCAACTGCTCCGATCCGGAAGGGGCAAACCAGTTGCTCATGAGTCTCCGCGACGAGACGGAACCCATGGAAACCCACTACCCGCAAAATCACATGAGGAATGTCGCCAGAAAGGCCTGTCCCTGCGATTACATCCACATCGTCGACATCGACATGCTGGCCACCCCTCGCATGGCCGACAAGCTAAACGGTTTCCTCACGACGATGGAGGAGACGGCGCCGTGTGAGAAATGTATCTACGTCGTGCCTGCTTACGAGGTCCATGACTCCGTCGAGAAGTACCCCGACAACAAGAAGGAACTGCTCGAGCTGGTGCACAGAAATCTGGCGCAGGTGTTCCATGTCAAGGTACCGGAGTGGTTACCGATTTATGTCTTTTCCTAAACACACACATCCACTCACACATTCCGCGTCCACACAATTATGTTTAAGGCCACGTTACAAATATTATCCAAAGGGTAATGCCAGTAACTTTGTTCACACCGCCCTGACCCTTCCCACAGGTATACGACCGGAACCAGGGCAACGGTCGATTCCCGCAGCGCTGGGAGGTGGAGCCGACCGAGGAGGACACGGCGGAATACCGCGTTCTCTACGACATTCCCAATTACCAGGAATTCTGGGAACCACTAATGGTCCTGCCTTACACAGCGCCCTGGCACGACGAGCGCTTCGTTGGGTTCGGCTTCAATCGCAATAGCCACGTGAGGTTTTCCAAATTGGTTTCTTGGCTCCTTGCAATGCTGTGGCTTCTCTCGTCGCTCTCTGCGGCGGTCTCTCGCTTCCTGCCTCTTTCTGTCACTCTTTAGTTATCTGTCTGTTACTATCGATCTTTGTCTCCCTTGTTTTTATTCATATATATATGTATCTATCTATCTCTGTTTATCTATTTGTCTGTCTTTCTATCCATCATCATCATTCTCTCTCTCTCTCTCTCTCTCT